AAATAAATAAAGGAAATTATAACTTATAGGATTATATTTCTTATTCTTAAAATAATAGTAATTATATACTAAGTAATTATTATTCTTAATATAAATAAGATTAGGAAACTTAGTAATATTCTTGAAATATCAAAAATAGTAAGGGCGAATTAAGGATATAGGAGTATTAGCCAAACGAGTAATAATAGGCTAATAAATACTAAGAGAAATATTTATCTTAATAAATAAAGAAATAGAAGAAGGAATTAGAAGAGAACTTAAATAAAGCTTAAATAAAACTTAAATAAAGCTTAAAGGAGCTTAAAAAAGGCTTAAAAAAGGAAGGCAAAAAATAAGGAGGAACTAGGTATAGTATTATAGTTAAGGAAAGAAAGGTTAGTTAGTAGGAAAAAAGAGGCCTTTTTATAATACCCTCTTTCCGAATAATAATTATAAATTTGGAACCGGCTCTATATTAGAAATATCTAGAAAATTCCAAAAAATAGATTTATAAATAAACTAGAAAATTAAATTAACTTTTCTAAGTTCTTAGGCCTATAAAGTAATAATTTATTCGCAAATAGAGGCTAAGTTAGAATTTATGAACTAATTAAAAGACCGGAAGAGCTTCTTACCTAATAATATATATTATACCCGTATTACCTTTATAAGAGGGAATTACTAGAGGCAATTTACAGGTTAGCTAGATAGGATTAGTAAACTATATTCTTAAGTCTATTACCTAATATAATAATAGGACAATTATAGGGAATCTTTAGAGAGAACTAATGGCCAGAAAGGTTTTAGGGAATTATTTATAAAGCTATTTATAGTTCTCTTAGGCCTCTTGGGAATAAGGGCCTAGAGGGAAGATTAATATAATAGATATATATAATAGTATATAAATAGATATTAAATATTATAAATCTAGTTTCTTATTTTAGATAAAGCTTATAATTAGAATTATATAGATAATCGGAATTATATAGATTATATAGGATTATATTTCCTAGTTAAGTAAAATACTTTATAGGCTTAGCTAAATACTAGGGAATATATAGGGAAACACTTCTAGCTTTAAAAAGAAATATTAATTAGTCTTTTATTAAAATCAATTCTTGGAATTAGTTATATTTATAAGTATTACTCTATAGCTTACTTACCTTAATTACTTATATATTATCCTATTATTATATATCTTATATTTTCTTAATATTTACTAATATATAAAGCTCCTAGAAAAGGTATTAGTAAGAGCTTTTCTTACTATATTAAAGGAACTAGTATAAAACTACTTCTATAATAACTAGCTCTTAAGCCATATATATAAAAAGGCTTATATAAATATTTATAGCTTTTTTAAAGGCTCTGGTTTCTATTATTAAAATTTAAATAAATAAAATACTATTACCTTAGTAATTATAATAGTAAAAAACTCTAAAAAAAAAATATTTAAGCTTATCTAAATACTAATTAATAACTTATATAAATTATAATATAGCCTTACTTTTATTTTATAAAGTACTAAATTCCTATATAATAAGATTATTACCTCTTATTAAGGCTTACTAATATACTAATATATAGTCTTAAACTCTCCTAATAATCTCGGCTAGCTTATTAATAAGCTTTAATTATCTATTATTACTTATAAGAAAAAGTAATAAATTATTACTAAAACCTATTTTACTAATTAATAATACTATTCTTAAAACCCTTTAAATTACTATTTATTCAGAAATTATTAATATGAATTTAGCTATAATTTTAGAACCCGTAATAATTACTTTAAGCCTTATAATTATAATAAGTATATTCTAAAGTTATATTTTATATATAAGAAACCTAAATACTATTTATAGAAATATATACTAGAGAAATAAGAGGCCAAGAAGGCTTAATTTAAGAATAGAAATATTTACTAATTTAGATCCTAAAATACCCGCAATTTTAATAAATACTTTAGTAATACTTATATATAATATATTACTAAATTCGAAAGAGAAAAAAATAATAAGAATAATAAGAACAAACTAATAAGTAATGCTTTTAAAGCCTTACTAGTAAAAACAAATAAAAAAGAGAAATATTACTCTAATTCTTATTTTACTTTTATTAAAAGCTTCCTAGTTACTTCTATAGCCCCTACTCCTATTATTCCTATAATTAATACCCTTATAAATAATCTTATTTCTTTTTTCCTTATATACTAGATAATAGGTAAAGACTATATCTTAGAGCCTATTAAATAGATAGAAGATACCTAGATATTTATAATTAATAGTATATTAAGATATAATACTTATTACTTTTATAAAGTTATAATTAATACTAAAGCCTCTAGATTCTTAACTATTAGTTCTAACTAATTCCAAGCTTTATAGTAAACTAATAATAGTATTAAACTTAATAAAATTACTAAAAATTAAGTTAATATCTAGTTTAGTATTAGATTTATATCTTTTATTAGATCTATAATAATGAGAATACTAATTAGGTAAGTATAATTTTATATTATACTTATAAAAACTTTATTCTTACTTAGCTTAGCTAATATAAATAAGCTAGAAGTTTACTTTAATAATCTTACTAATTATTTCATTATTTCTAATAGATACTTTATACCTGTAATATAACGTTTTAGATACTTTTTCTTGCTTTAGAATACTATTCTATAAAGCTTTATTTCCGAATTCTTTACTTATAACTCCTGCTTTCTTATAGAGATTAAATTATAATATCTATATTACTATTTTAGTTATTTATTTATTAGTAAACTTTAAAACATACTAGAATAAGTATGCTATAATATTAATATAGAAGCCCTTAAGTACCTTATAAAGTACTATAAGTAATACTAGAAATTCGGATAATTACCCGGATAATTTAAGTTTAATCTAAGAAATAATATTAGCTTTAATTATTCTATTATTATTAATATTTTCTATATTTCCAGTAAGCCTATACTTTATATTATTAATAAAGGCACTAGATATTAAGCTAGCTAATAGCTTTAAAATATTAGTATATTATATACTTGAGATACCCTAAAGTAATATTAGATTAATACCTATTTAGGCCCTCCTAATTAGATTATAGTAGATACCGGAAAGTAGTTTACTAGTAAGAAGTTTACTTAGCTTATAAATACTATAGGAACTAAAATTAAAATTATTCTTATAGAAGCTTATAATTCTATTAGAATTATAGAATATTATTATAGCCTAATTTAATATACTTACTTTATTATTATAGCCAAAATTAATAGAATTAATAAGGATATTATACTTTAAATAGCTTTTAAAGCTATTAATAATTCCGCTAGACCTAATAATATTATCCTAACCCTCTTAGTTTATAGTACTTTACCCTAAATAACTAAATATAATACCCTATTACTAACTATATTATAGTAATTAGTAATACTTAAGAAAGTAATAGTAGAAATTTAGAAGCTTTAAGCTAGATACTAGATTATAAATGCCCTAAATACCTGAAATAGTCCTAGTACTACTAATATCTATAAACTTTCCTTAAATTCAGACATTCTCATATAATATAAAAGAAATACTAGTTAACCTAGTAATTGGGATAGGCCATATAAGCTAGTAGCCATTAATAGAAAGAACTATATACTAGCTTTATTATATAGTAATATTATTTTTTGCTTAATTTTTATAAAGCCCTTTTATATAGGAGATATTAAGGTTATTACTAATAGCCCCGAACCTAAACTTATTTCTAAACTTTATAATAAGGCTAAAAGTAATATAAATATAATTCCTCTTACTATTCCTACTATTTCACTAAAGTATAATAGAGAATACTCTTATAAGAACCCGGATTTTATAGTATTTTTATAGGATAATAACCTATATAAGAACTCTTATTAAGTTAAAGTTACTAGCTTTCTAGAAAAGGGCATATTTGAGGTTATTTCTAGATCTCAGATACTAAAGAAAATATATATTTTTAATTCCTGGTTTATTAATAAGATTAAGAATAAGGATATAAAGAGAAAGTTTAAGAAGTCGAGACTAGTTATCTAGGCTTATAATAATAGTAAGAAATATATAATATTAATATAATTACTTATTATTTAATATATTAGCTAGAGAATTATTCTTAGTATTACTATTATAATAATAGATATTATAGAGCTATATTTATATAATATTTCATAAGCTTATATCTAATTAATAACCTTACTTAACTATAATTTTTATATTAACTTATCTTATAAGCTTATTAGAAAGCTAAATCTAAATAATAATTCGGTTCTAAAGATTATAAAACTACTATATAGTATACCGGAAGCTAGGAATTACTAGTTTAAAACTTATTATTTCTATTATATTAATAAGCTTTTTATAAAATAGTTAACTTATAACTCTTGCCTTTTCTATAATAAGTAACTTTTCGGAATTATTAGCCTTTAAACTAATAATACCCTATTTATTAGAACTAATAATTTTATAAAGGCAAAGTAACTAAAGCTTTAAAAGGCTAAGTTCTTGGCTAAGGAATATAAATGCCTTATTTCTAATTATAATCTCAAGTTTAATAAAGGTATTATTTATATAGATATTACTAGAATTACTTTTATATAGGAATACTAGTTTAAAAACCTCTAAATTATTTCTATAAAGAATACTATTACTATAAGTAATAGAGGTACTATTTATTAAGATCTCTCTATTAAGGATTAATATATTACCTAATATACTAGAGAAGTATATATTATATTAGTCTATTAACCAGAAGCTTTATATGATTTATTAATTACTACTTAAGCTATTAAACCTTCGGAAACTAATATAAAGGCACTTAATAAGTATATTTAATAGCAAATTAAGAATATTACTAGAGAACTGAGATTTATAAAGCTAGTAAAAGAGTTCTTATATTTAATTATTTTTATAAATACTTTATTTATAAATAATAAAGATCTCTTTTCCTAAATCGGATATATTCTAGTTCTAGTAAATAGAACTAAATATACTAATATTATTTACTAGTTCTCTACTAAATATAAGAGAGTTACTAGAAGTATTCTAGCTTTAAAACTCTATAGTATAGCTTATGGCTTTAATATAGGCATTTTAGTTAAATCTATAATTAATAAAATACTAGAAATAGAACTATTACTAGTAGTTTATATGAATTCGAAGTTATTATATAAATGCCTTATTAAATTAGGAACTACTCGAGAAAAGCATCTAATAATTAATATAATATACCTTTACTAGGTATATAAATAATAAGAGATTATAGAAGTTAAATAGATTAAGAGAGAATTGAATCCTGCTAATTTTATAACGAAATTAAAGCTAATAAATACCCTTAAGTATCTAATTAATATAAATACTATATAATTAGATATAGAGAAATAGGTTAAGTATAAATAGGGCAGGAAATAGATATATAAGATAGGAGAATATTATAGGAGGGGAAGTTATATATAAAAGGCTATGGCTTTTAGTATATAACCAAAATCTCGGAAGTAATATAGATATATAGAGCGTTTGGGAAATCTGGTACTAGGCCGGATTAGGGAATTTATATGTAATTGGAAAGAGATACTATTTTTCGTATTTTTAGAGAGTTTCTAGTATTAGTATAGCTATTTCTTTGGGAGTCACGTGCATAGTTACGGGATACGAGATACGGGATATAGGTAATAGGATATAAGTAATAGGATATGGGATACGGGATATAGTTATGTGATTTTATATCCTATTAGTAACTTGACTAGTAGACTAGATCCCTTTAGGCTTAGCAGATTTAGGGATCGTATATTAATACTATAATACTATAATTCCTATTTCTGAATAATAATAACTTTACTAACTAATATAACTAATATTTCCATACCTATATAATAGTACTATATATTATTAGTAAACTAATAATAAGTTATATTATAATTTATTAGAAGATTAGTATAATATAATAAGCCGTATTTTCTAAAAATTATATTATTTTAGTAGTTTTAAGGTTTTAGTTATATAATAAAAGCTATAGTTTTTTATATATAATTTATAGAAATTATATAAAAAAGCTAGTTTTTTTATAGTTCTAGAAAATAATTTCTTTTTAATATTTAATTAATTAAGCTTTTATATATTATATACTATTTATATTTTTAATTTTATTATTTTACTATTAAGTCACGTTTTATATTCTAGTATATTTTATATAAGTTTTTATTTTATTATAGTTTCTTTTCTATATTAGAAAATAATTATATTAGTAATAAATACTAGCCTAAATAAATAGAATAGAACTCTTAATTAATATAATAATAAAGGAAAAAAGAAAGTTATATAATATAAGTCTGAAATTTAAAATAATACTAAATAGAAATATAATATTATTAAAAGAAAATATAGAGAACTAGTAAAATATTTATAAAAAATATAATTTTAGCTATATGAATTTTATTTTATTTTTGAACTAGATACTAATATACTTATTATATAGCTAAATAAAGCGGCTATAGATTTTTCTAAAGCTCTAGTTATTTACTAGCTAGTATGAATTTAATTATTTAACTTTAAAATTAAATATATTAAAAAAACTAAATATATTATTATTAATAAATTATTAAGATATTTATAATAAAAAAGTAATACTAAAAATAATAAGGATATTAATAAATAGTTAGTAATAGAGTTTAATACTATTAGAATAGTATTTATTAAATAAAAAGTTTAATTAAAAAAAAGTAGTTCTAGTTTAGTTATATAATATTATTTTAAGAAATTAGACTTTTAAGACCTTTACTAGGTATTTAAATAATAGAATCCAGTTACTAGAGATTAATAATTAAAGCCTTATTATATTTGAAAGCGAATTAGTAATATTAAAAAATAATAATATTTGGAAGTTATATAATAAAGGCTATAGTCTTTTATATATAACTTCTAGTAAAATAATAAATAATAATACTAATTCTTATACTTTATTTAATAACCCGATTATTTTATTAAATTCCTTAAATAATAGCTATTTTAAATAATATTAGAATATTATATAATATCTTATAATACTTTCTAGATTAGAAGAAATATTTAGAATCGAGTTTTGAAAATTAAATAAAAAAGCTTTAAATTATAATATAAGAGATTAATTATTATAAAGAGTTATATCTAAAACATATTTACCTTAATTTATTATTAATAATTAAAAGTAAAAAGAGATTATTATTAAAGAGCTATATAATAAAATTAGATATATTAGAAGAAAAAGTACTTTTTATTTAATAGCTAGCTACTATTACTAGAAGAATTACTATAATTATATATAGAAATATATTAATATCTATAAAGTCTATTAATATAAGAATAAAATAAAATAAAAAGAAGTTTTATATTTAATAAAAGCTATATCTCTTTTCTATTACCTTGAGATTAATATAATTAAATTACTAGACTATAAAGAATATAATTTATTAATTATTACTAGAAACGACTTTTTAAAATAGGTTAAAGCTATATCTTTAAAGAATCCGACTAATAAAAAGATTATTAAGTTTATTTAAGAAGAAATTATTTATAAATATAATTTATTTAGCTAGCTTAAAATAAATAATAGATCGGAATTTAAAAAAATAGTAATTCAAGAACTTAATAAACTAGGAATTAATAGAATTATTATTTTGGCCTATAATTTTAAAAGAAATAATATAATTAAAAGAAAATATTAACTAATTATTTAAATACTTATTATATTTATAATAGATAAAAAGAAACCTTAAATAGATTTACTATTATATATTCTATTTATTAATCGAGTTATTATATATAAACTAACTAGATTTATTTTCTTCTATATAATCTATAATAAAAAAGTTATATTATTTATAGAAATATACTTTCTAATCTAGAAAATACTTAAATAAAATAAAGTTTATAATAGAGAAATACATTTAGAAATATATATAAAGTAAATATAAATAAAAGATAAAGATATTAAAGAAGCCGAAATAAAAAAGAATAGAAAATACTAAAAGAAAAAGAAGTAATTTAATATTATTTATTAGATTTATTTAAAGCCTATTTCTAAAAGAAAATCTAGTTCTTATATATAATATTAAATTAATAAATTAAAATAAATTAAGGAATATAAAGTTATTATATTACTAGTTTAGTTTATATAAAGTAAGATATATGAATTAACTAAAAGAATATTATATATTAGAAGAGTTTAATAATATTATATTCCGAAAATATATACCGGGAATTAATTTAAGTAATTTATTAAAAGAAATGAATTCTAATATTCCCCTAAAAATAGAGTTAATAATAAGTATATATTTATAAATAAATATTTTAAAACAGATATGAAATTAGAAAAAGAAATAATTATAAAATATTATAAGCGAAATAGTATTTAGAAAATTAAAAAAGCTATTAGTATTATTATATATATTCTAGAATTACCGAAATTAGAAAAAATAAAATATGTTTTTTTTTATAAAAGACTAGAAGAAAATATCTAATAATAGAAGCTTTTCTTAATTTGAAATAAAGCTTATTATTTTTAATTCTTTATATATTTTTAATTTTTTTCTTTTAATTATTATTTATAGCCTTTAGAGAATATTATTATTAGATTACTATTCTAGAAATCGAATAAGCTTTACTATTATTTATTTCTTATTATTATTTAATTATTATTACTAGATAGTATTTTTAATATAAGATTCTATTACTAGATTTTGGGAATTAAATATAAAGTATTTCTTTTAATATAAAAATAAATAGGGAATTAAAAGATTATTTTATAAACTCTTAGTTTCGAACTATAATATTTTTTTAAAAGTTCTTATAATACGAATAGTTACTATATATAGAAAAAAGAAGGCCTTTTATATATTTCTTATTAAACTAGAAACCTTTTAAGAACTCTATTTATTTTTTTAGCTAGCTATTTTTGCGGCTTATATTAATCTAAAGCTTAATTATAATACTTATAGATCTCGATTTTAACTTGAATTACTATTATAAGTTTATTTATAATATTTAAATAAACTTCCTAATTAGAGATTATATATAAATAAAATAGCTAACTAGAAGCTTTATAAAAAGAAAGAGAAACCTAATTAAATCTAATAATTATTTCCGAAGATATTTAATAATATATAATTCTAGGAATCTCTTAAATATTAGATAAATTAGATCTATTTATTTAAAGCCTATTTTATATTAGGAAACTCACCTTTTTTTCTATATAATTATAGCTATATTTAAAACCTATACTAAAATTTAGTTAGTATATTATATATTTCTATTTCTATATAAAGGAAATTTCTTTTATATAGAACTTATTTCCTAATTATAATATTGTTTTATTACTAGAAATTAATTACTTTTTCGAAAAAGCTAATATAAGTTATTAATTCTTATTATTAATCTATTTCTTACTATTAAATATTATTTAAATAATTAGAAAAATACCTTTAATCCTATATTCTTAATACTAATTTAGAATACTTATTTTTTTATTTATTCTATATTAACTTTAATATTAATTATTTCAAACTTAATAATAGTATTATAAATTCTATTTATACTATTTTATAATTCTTTTTTCTATAATTTTTAAAGCCTTTAATATTACTTTTATAAATATAAATATTACTTTAAAGTCCCAACTAATTAAATAGCTTTTTATTATATAAAATCGACTTTAATAAATATTAAATAAATATAATTAGCTTTTAAAAAAGATATAAATCTGTTTTAAAAAAAGTAATACCTTATTCTAAATTATTTCTTAATTCTATTATTCTAACTTTTTTTTTATTAATATTTATTTTATACTTTTCTAATATTCTTAATATATTTATATATCTTATTTTTTATATATTTCCTATATTATTTCCCTTCTTTTATACTATTCTTTAAGTTAATAGAAATGTTTTCAAATAAATAAAGAATTAAAATATACCTATATTATAAATTTTTTATTATTTTCTTTTATATTTTAATACTTTAAATATTATTATTATATTTATATTTCTATTATATTACTTTTTTATTTTTATATTATTATTACTTAGTTTAATCTGCTTTAATTATTTCCTAAATTATATTTCTTTAGATATATATATTTATATTTTTTTTTATAATAAAAGCCTAATTCTATATTTTACTTTTTATAATTATTTCTAATTTATAACTATATTACTTTAAATATATTTAATTATTATATCTATTTTTCCTATTATATATACTATTATTTTAGCTTTATTTTCTTAATAAAAAGAAAGAAAAACTCAAATATATATAATA